TAACTTCAACCGATCCACGAAATTGAACAGCCGTTCAACATTGTCTTCAATGAGTTACTATCTCACAATAGACCTGATTGAACTCCTTTAGTCGCTGCTTCTCACCAGAACTCCAGCAAATACCTCTTAGAGTTAGACATTAACATCGTTGGATGCCGGACGGCTCAGTGATAGAGAGGTTAAGCGTTTGTGTACGAGATTGATAGGTTCCGGGTTAGAATCTCGCTAGGCGGGATCGTGGATACTTACTTCTGAGGAGTCCCAAAATAGGACGAAACAGCCGTCCAATGCATCCACGTTTTGTATGGTGGTCTAGCTTCAGTTGACTTACGATTTCAACTATAAATTTACTAAAATCTCCACAAAATCCTCTTCTGAGAATGTATAGAAGTTTATTCATGTGCAACATAAATAATAATAACTAATAGAATAAATAGGAGTGAAGATTAAAGATGGATATTATTTAGAAGTGGAATCCACCACACGCGTTTTAAGCTATTTGGGACTTATCAAATTGATGTACATACATCTCAGATTTGATGCCCACTCCGTGACTTAAACCACAGTACCAATCGCTTCAAATGCCATCACGTTATCTACTTAGCTACTGAGGCCTGATAGTCACTTGCTTGTGCAATAGGGTGTAGTTTAAATTTGCTTGGTATTGTTTACTTAAATCTTCCCATTAATGTTTAGGATTGCAACTATCTATCTTTATGAATTAAGGCAATTGAATAGAGAAGCAATACTGACAGAATGCACATATGCCAATAAGACACTAATCAATTGTAGTCCTAAACAAAAATGACAAGATTCAAGCAAATCAATACCAAATAAATTTAGGATTGGAAATCATTTTGAATTCTTTAAGTAAACTAATATTTAAAACAAATTTTAACTAATGTATTAATATTGTAATTCCTTGTTAATGTAATTGAAATGAAGATAATACTGTTAAATATACTATGAAAGCAAAACAAAAAAACGCATATTCATGTTTGAATACACAAGCCTCATAGTGAAGCTCATTGATTTGAAACAGATTTTAAATATTATGATTACTCAAAAATGAAGCAAGAAACCAAGACTACACTTGTGCATATCATTGGAACCCTACTACTATATGAAACTATCCGTTATTAGATATTTTCACATAGTTATTAGTTGATATGTGTTATATCCCGTGGAGAATTGTGAATGGTAACTTTGAGAACTATCTATGGACCAATATGATATGTATATTTCCTATTGCATTATTGTGAAGTAACTAAACTAACCATATTCGTACCCCTCTTATTATAAGCTTTATTTCGACCTAAAGACTATTATTATACGATTTACAATTATTAAGTTAACCCTAGTTCATTAATTACTATTCCCCCTATTCACAGCTACATTTGGCCAAATCTTGTACAAATGTTATTTTCTATTTTATGGTACGATGTGGTCTGCTTGTTTGGTATATAAACCCCAGTATGTTTGAGAATAGTAATTCATATTGCAGAGACTGTTATTGGTGTTCTGGACTTAACTAACTGGTCTAGTCAGAAAGCAGGACTGATAAGTACTCAAGACTGCTCATACGGCTTTTGTGTATTATTGTTCTAATCAATAATTCACTCCTATCTCATTGGCGAGAATCAGCACGTTCATTTATATTAAACAGGGCACACAACGCAATCGATATAACAAAACCTGTGAGAATTACTGAAGGGAAACACATTTATGTAATGTTTATCACCTTTAGAAAATCATCAGTTAAAAGTAACCAATATTTCGGTTTCTTATTTAAAGATTTATAAGACGATCAAAATCCTTGGATGGCTATCCAGACAGTAGATGTACTTGACTGGTAACTCTATACCAACACATAGCCTGAGATTAAAGCTACTGGTCAAACTCTTTCAACTATACATCGTCAATCTTAAGATTTTTATCTCCTTACTAAAGTTATTAAACAATATTTTCAAGGTTAAATTCATGAGTTGATCTAAACTAGAGCACTGTTGAAAACCTGGAAGTACTGGAGTCCCATACTAGGACAAAACGGCCGTCCACTACTTCCAGGTTTTCAGCGATGTTCTAGCTGAGATCGACTCGTGAATTCAACTATGAAATCACTACAATCTCCACAAATCCACTTACTGATAATATTTAACAATAAGCTAATTGAGATTTTGTAGTTTATTTAGAACTGACCATTAAGTTGAATTTCATTGATCGCATAGGTTTATGCTAACAGCTATTGGAAAACAATTATTTTTAACATCTATTTATGTTATACATCAGAATGAATAAACTCACTTGGTGCTGTTTACTTGAATCTTCTTATTTTTGTTTAGGACTGCAATTGATCAGTCTCTCTTATCGGCATATATGCATACTGTTCGTACTGCCTCGATATAACCATAATTCACAAGCATTATAAGCAAAGATGGATAATGGTTTACAGTGGAATCCAGAACGCCCAATCAAGTGACTATCAGGCCTCAGTAGCTAAGTAGATAACGTGATGGCATTGGAAACGGTTGGTACTGTGGTTCGAGACCAAGAGTGAACATCAACTCTGAGATGTTGGTACATCCAGCTGAGGATTCCCAAATTGGACGAAACGCGTGTAGTGGATTCCATTGCTAGTCACTATCCATCTTTGCTTAAAACTAATAAACATTTTAAATAGTTATATTTATTTTAAATTATGTTAATATACATTATACATCCACACAAAAAAAGAAAAACAATTAACAATTCCGATAGAATATGAACAAGGGAACAGCATGAAACTATTGACATTTTTTCCTAGAAAAAGTAATTAATTTTACTTTATCACAATTATTATATCATTGAAGTATAGTTTTTTTATTAATATTAAAATTAGCTTTTTTCTTTCTAGAAAAAAAAGGGTCAGACTATAAAAGAATTTTCATTCTAACATAAATATTAATTATTTTGATAGTTAAGGTCATGAATCATTTGAAGCTAGACGACCATAGAAAACCTGGAAGCACTGGACGGCCGTTTCGTCCTATTATTAGACTCCTCAACAATGCGCATCCACGATCCCACCTCACGAGATTTGAACTCAGGAGCTATCAGTTTCACACGCGAGCGCTTAACCACTAGACCATTGAACCGGCCGGTATCCAACGGTGTTAATGTCTAACTTCAACCGACCCATGAAATTGAGCGACACATCCACCAATGTCTCCCAACAGACCTGATTGAACTCCACTGCCTACTACTTCTCACTGGAACTCCTGGAAATACCTCATGGAGCCAGTCACTAGTGAGCTTCAATTGATTCATGACCTCAACTATCCAAATTACTATCATATCCATAAAACCCCCTTCTGATAATATTAATTATTGTCAATCTATAGTACTTCGAAAAATAAAATAAAAATTTTCCATAATTTATGATTAGTTTACGTGATATTTTGTTATTCAACTTAGACATTATTATTATTAATGACTGAAATTAATTGAGTAGAATAGATTTTTGAAGAAGAAGAAGAAGAAGAAGAAGAAGAAGAAGAAGGAGGAGGAGGAGGAGGAGGAGGAGAGGAATAAACCCACCATTAAATAATGAATATTTGATAAATAATTCTAACTATGAAAATTATTTTATTTTAAAAATAATTTGGGTATAAAATTAAAAAAAACCTTATTTTGTTTTATAATTTTAATGGAAAAATAATAATAAAAATAATATTTTTATGGAGGCTGAATTATGAAGACAGCCTACTTGAATATCTGAGCTACCTGTTCCTGATATCTAGATATTTCAACAAGTCATCTAATTTTTTTTAATACATCATTATGTCTATTAATCGCATAACCTATTCAGGTGCATTTCTGAATTGTGTACAACTTTTCAATGTACAAGTTACAAAATAGGCCAATCAGAGATATGGTGGTTGCTAGTAATATGCATCGAAAAGGTTGTACATTATTTCTATGTCGAATGACTGGACTGCTATTATCTAACTGGTAATCACTTCATATTTAAAAATTAAAAACACGAAGTTCAACGAAGGGATCTCTCTTTATTAACACGCAGTACACTCGTATATATGTGAAAATGTTTTGTTAAAGAAATAATTCCGTGGGGAAATGTGAATACGAATAACCAAGATGACGTAATAGAAAGATTATAATACTACATTATTTAATACGAGTAATAACAATAGATTCAGTGAATATAATAAGATGGTTAGAATGAATAAAATGTTCTTACAATAATTAAAGATCATTAAAGGTCATACAGGTGTAAAAATAAATAGGATTAAATCCTTATTTATGGCCTATCGGTTAAATTCGCTGGCGCGAAACTGGTAGGTCCTGGGTTCAAATCTCGCGAGTGCGGGATTCGGGATGCGCACTGCTGAGGAATCCCATAATAGGACGAAACAGCCGTCCAGTGCTTCCAGGTTTTCCATGGTGGTCTAGCTTCAATTGACTCATGATTTCAACTATGAAAATAAATCCTTATTTCTTTTCAGGAGCAGTAGCTGATCTAAATGGTTCTTAGTTAATAAGTTAATCTTACTACATTGTATATTAACGTAGCCATGACTACAGTCCAGTAATGTGGATTTAAAATGCTTTCTATTACATTATCTTGGTTATTAGTGTTCACAACTCCCCAAGGAATTATTACTTTAACAAAGCGTTTTCATATATATATATACGATTGTACGGCTCGATAATGAATTCGTCGAAAAGAGATCTCTACGCTGAACTTCGTGTTTTTAATTTTTAATGTTGAAATAGGAATTATACTTTACTTCGTATTTATCGTTAGCATCGATCAAGAAATAAGAAACGTAATCTTGTTGAAACACATTGCGCTGAGAATTCTATATTGTATCAAAAAATATAATATTGAATAAAGCCACTAATAACAACAATAAATCAGTGTTTTAAACAATTTTTTTCTTATACACACTAATATCAGTTGTATTGTGTTGTGTGCTACTTATGTCAACATAAATAGTATATAACGCTAGTCAGGAATAGAATGTTGAGAAGATAGAGAAGGAAAAATCGGGAACAGAAAGCGATTGGTATGGAAATGCAAGAACAATGAAGTCTGGGACAAATAGTGAATATTTTGCAAATGAAGCATTTACTGTATGGTACTCAGATTTTACTAAAATGTTCTGTAATTTTGTATTCAGATCCATTTGGCTGTCCTCACTTATGCTCTTGTTCACTACAGTATAACTAATGAAATAGCGAAAGTATTGAACAGGTGATTGTTCAAGTATTGGAACTATTGAACATTTTATACTTACTACATCAAATCCAAGTGATTCAAATCTTACTGTAAACATGATGTAATTCATTCACTCAGTTAAAATATAATTATCTCCGTCTAATTATCCCAGATAAATAATATAATATGATCATCATTCAACTTCAGTGGTAGTCGTTCACTTTACTTCAGATTGACTTGTATCCATGGGTCAGATCTTTTTATTACTAAATAGAACTTGAAGATAATCACTCTTTCTATTGTTATTGTCATTCAAAAAACTGTCCTCATAATGTAACGTTCATTTAATTTATAGTTTTATTAAAATTATTGATTTCTAATATAAACAAGTTCTTGAACTATTATCTAGCTATAGCTGTGAATGTTTTCCATGAATTGTTGAGGAACAAAGTACTCAATTAATGAGAGAATAAAGCGACTAAACTTTGATCGATTTCAATTCCACAAGAACATGTTTAGTTAACACTTATAAACCATTTCGAAAATTTCTACTACAAATTCTTTTTCTATATAGTAATTGGTCATCAATATCTTCCAGTAGAGACTAATTTTACTAACCAACCATATATATTTTAATGTGATCAATATGAACCAATTGATGAACTCTGATTCACGCTAATTCTAATCACTCCTTCCGCTCTGTTAGAGTTAGCCATGTTGTCTCAACTAAGGATTTGTTTAATGATTATTAAACTTGGATATGGTAATTCATGTTAGGTAATTGTCTAAGAACCATCATTCTAACTCATTTAACTATACCACTAGAAATCTCATGCATATATTTCTCGGAAAGAGCGCGAGTAAGGAATTGAACACTATCAAAAACAAAATGAATGGTATTAATTTCACAACAGGCAGCAAATTCCAACCTAAGGCCTCCAAGTGACGCTTCTGGGTAATAGGGGTAACTTTGTTAGCTCACTTGGGCAGTCGGTGGGGATCGGACTAATCCATTACTCTGCTATAACTCGGATTAACTTGGAGTTTCTTTTGAGACAATCAAAATAGTAAAGGGTTATCTTTTCGGTACGCCTGTAAATATAAGGTTCATGAGTTTCGACCTCTGTAGTTTATATGTGTAGATATATGCAAATGGTACGCTCCAGGCTCACCTGCACCGTACCTAGTTACATAGTCTGCCTCATGATCAACTCAAATTTTTTAAAAAACATCTGTTAAGAAGATTGGTAAAAAATTCAGGTGAAGAGAGCGCTAACCACCAGCCCTCCATTAGAGTGCTTATACATGTGTGTACTATGAAGTGGGTAGGTAAAAGTATACATACCAGTGGTATGTATGTAAAACATAAGCACCGGGTTTGGAATTAGCAAATACGTATGTAGGGACAAGTATGCTTAAGTGTTTGTGATAGGATGCATAGGTGAGAACTTGTGTTACATGCGTAAATGTAAATCATACTTATCTCCAGTGTGACACCCGCGTATCAAGATCCTGGAGTTATTACGGTCACCCACTAAAACCATGTATTTGTGACTGGTACATTTGCTAACAGACTTCAACTAATAGTCTTAACCAACCGCGATAAGTTGGGACGTCACCAGAAACACTCACTATTACAATTTAAAAGTACAGAATCTAACTTCGAATCAGTTTTAATTTAGCTAAATTCTATAGTTAGTTAAGTAGAGCAACTTATCATAGTGTGGTGTGGGTTACTGATATCCACATAAGTAATATATGGTGATGGTCGGGCATAAAATGTATTTCAGCAGAAGATCAATAAGGACAGAACGGAAAAGGCACGCAGTTGGTACGAAAAGGCATGAACAATTATAATCGGAGACTATGGACTGATATTTGCAGAAGGAAAAGACAAACTGAGACAATTAATTGTTATTTTGCGAATTCAATGTTCACAATTAGGTTCTCATATTTTATGAGATATTCTGTAATGATGTGCTCAAATACATTCGATTGTCCCCACTTGTGTTCTTATTCACTATAATAGTTCCATTTAAGTAAAACCAATCTGAATGATTCACTCTACAAAGCATGATGACTTCTTTCTAAACGTATTTCTACATGTTACAACAGATTGCATTATTTGCTAATCTAATTCTCAATTAAATCTATGGAATAAGTCGAATGTTACATAACTTCATTCTAATCAGTTGGGTGAAAAACAAACAAATGACTGACTGACTGACTGAAATCATATGTTTCTCATTTAAATTATATTAATACAGTTTAAGAGATTGTTTCTAAGGGCTGTTTTTTTTAAAAATTATTTATTTAATCCACATTTATTTCTAAGATGAACGAACTAAAGTATTTCATGTTTTCATTAGATACAGAAAAAAAGTTTCCATTCTTTTACATTTTATAATCAACAACAGATGTATTGAACTTGTTCATGTTTATATTCCATTTTTGTATTTTATAAATACAAAACTTTTTTTTAGTTAGAAATCAATTTACTACTAATTTACAGTACTACTTCATTGTTTTTTGGTAATTAGCGATTAAAAGACTAATATATATATGTGAACGAAGAATATTCTTTTCGATGAATTCCCTTCAGGTTCTAAAATTGTATATCCAGGTTAATAATTCGATGGATTTAACATCACTATTCACAAATATCCCATTAATTGAGATCGTAGTGTAGTGAACAAGAAAACGGGTGGGGATAATGAAATGTATCCGACTATGAATCACAAACTATCTCACTAAAATCTGATAACCATACGGTAAACAGTTAATTTGCAAAATAACAATCAATTGTCTTAATCTTGACTGTTCCTTCTGAAAATATCAGTCCATCATCTATGATTTCATTGTTCATACATTTTCATACCGATTGTGCTTCATTTCGGTTCTTTTCTAATAGATCTTCTGCTGAAATACACTCTATGCCTGACAATCACCATATATTACTTATATGGATATAAGTAATCCACACCACAGTAGAATATATAGGAGAACAACTGATTGAAAATGAAATTGAAACTATATTTCTTAATAATGTCGTGAAAGAGTTATTACTCAAATACACCATGAGTGTGAATTTCAAGTTCAACGGAGAAATATATAGACAAACAGATGGTGCTGCAATGGGTTCACCTCTGAGCCATATACTAGCTGATATTTTTGTAGTCAAACTAGAAAATGATCCACTAAAAAAGATTATTTAAAAATTCAAATTTTACTGTAGATATACGGGTGGCACACTCATCCTCTGTAAAGCTAATACATCACAGTAAGACGTTCTCAGACAGTTTAACGAAGTGCATCCAGTCATTTAGTTTACATCTGAAGAAGAGAGTGATGGTCGAATAGCCTTTTTTAACGTTCTCTTAACTAAGAGAGCTGATGGATAGTTAAAAAGAAACGTAAACAGTATACTCATTTCTTTAACTTTGTACCCCTACTGTACAAACGAAACTTGATCAAAACCCTTAGTTACCGAATATACACTATATGTTCTACGGATATAGTTGATGATGAGCTAAACACCTTACTCTTAGGGGAACGGTTACCCTAGAGAGTTTATAATTAAATATGTGATCATGAGAGTGAAAATACGCGAAATTCAAACGGTCAAGAAGAAATATCTAATGACTAAGAAGAATGTTTATTATTTCATCCAATTATCATAATATAAATGATCAGTGATTTTATACAGAATTTAAGACTTAAGATTATCTCTAAGGAGTTGTACACAAATACTAGTTGAATTATTATGTGGTCTAATCACTAATCGATTTTGAGACTGATAAAACTACTATAATCAATGAAAATATAATGTAAACATATAACATTATTTTCATAGTTGAAATCATCAGTCAATGGAAGCTAGACCACCATGGAAAACCTGGAAGCACTGGACGGCCGTTTAGTCCTATTATCGGACTCCTCAGAAGTATACATCCATTATCCCGCCTCACGAAATTCCAACCCAGGACCTACCAGTCTCACGCCAGAGCACTTAACCACTAGACCACTGAGTCGGCATCCGATGGTGTTGATGTTTAACTTCAACCAATCAACGAAGTTTGACTGACTTCAAGATAAATATCCTGGAGTTCTAGTGGGAAGCAGTGACCAGTGGAGTTCAACCACGTCTGTTGTGAGATAATAACTCACTGAAGACAATTGGTGAACGGTTGCTCAATTTCGTGGATTGGTTGAAGTTAGACATTAACACCATCGGATTCCGACTCAGTGGTCTAGTGGTTAAGTGCTTCGGCTCGAGACTGGTAGGTCCTGGGTTGAAATCTCGTGAGGCAGGATCGTGGATGCGTACTTCTGAGGAGTCCCATAATAGGACGAAACGGCAGTCCAGTGCTTTGAGGTTTTTCGCATGGTGGTCTACCTTCAATCGACTCATGACTTCAACTATGAAGAAACTGAAATCTCCACAAAACCCCTTCTGAATATAACATTAATTTATCTTATTTTGTCCTGTTAAATAAAACGCAACTAATACCAATGCTTACGTATATGTACAATATTTTATCTTAACACATATCATTTCACATCCCAAGTCTCTTACACACTAATACATATACCTAGTTTAGACATTTTTAATGCTGATTAGATGATCTATTCAGTACACAATGAACCGGAGAACTGTGTACCTATTTATATTCGATAATTTTGATGTTTGATTATATTTCCTTGAAAAACTTGGACTTGTTTGCCAAGCGAAACGTTAGATTTACTTTAAAAGTCATTCGCTGAGATTTTACAAATATATTATTTCTATTTCAATGTCTTACATTAATTCGGCGCCCAAATACTGTGAAACTATTCGCTTTAATTTAGACGAAAGTTCTTATATAATACCAACCTTGCTATGATATACTCTTTAACCATATAACAAGAAAATATACAGTTCATTTGAAATGAGCTTGTAATAAACATATAATAACTTCCTAGTCTTATTTTCCTAAATGCTTGTTTATATTGATGTTTAAGATAAATATCTAGACAGAAAGAAGTGTAGATTTGCATGTAATTATGGCTTGGTGTTTTCATGTTTAAACATCATCATGATATAGTAAACATTACATTTTACTATTCACATGAAAGAATTGTTTTCACAGTTTGTTTCAAAAGTAATTGACATTTGAAACTTATGTTAGATAGACAATTAATGTAAACTGTAAAACACTAAGAAGCTATTATAACTTAGTGTGGAAAAGAATTTTAAACTTTCTAGGTTGGTTATTTATTAAAGTATGAAGACATGAAAGTTTTATATAGTTGAAATCATGAATCATTTGAAGCTAGACCACTATGGAAAATTTCAAAGCACTGGATGGTCCTTTCGTCCTATTGTGGGTCTCCACAATCCCGCCTCGCGAGATTCGAACCCAGGCTCTATTAGTCTCGCACTTAATCACTAGACCACTGAGTCGGTATCCAACGGTGTTAATATCTTACTTCGACCAATCCACGAAGTTGAGCAACCAAAATTTACTTAATGTTCCATAATCTATGCAATGAAGTTTAGTTATACAATAGGTTATAGGTAGTGAACTTACAACAACGATTCATCACAAAAATACAGAAAACTAAAGATTCGTAAATGAACCAAATTTTAGTGATAACTGGAATAACTCAACGGTTAATACAAATAACTAAAAAAAATTCTAACAACGAAATTGATTTTTGAAACTTCACCGTCTCAAAACTATATAAGTGTAAACAGTAAGCTGTATTCGAACACGATTTAATAAAATAATTATATTACATTAATTTTATAGTTTAATTCATGAGTTAATTAAACCTAGATCACCATGAGAAATCTGGAAGCACTGAACGGCTGTTTCTTCCCAGTATGGGATTCCTCAGCAGTGCGTATCCACGACCCCACTCACGGGATTGGAACTCGGGACATATCGGCCTTACGTGCAAACACTTAACCTGTAGACCACCGAGTTGACATCCAATGATTTTAATGTCTCACTTCAACCAGTCTACGAAATCACGCCACTGTCCACTTACGATCGTCCAGTACTTCGAGGTTTTCTATGGTGGTCTAGCTTCAATTGACTCATGATTTCAACTATATTTTCAATATGTTTAGAAATTTCTTTATCAATAAACTCTGAACTTTAAGTAATATCTTTATTATTATTGTCTTCAGCTTTATTCAATATTATATTTTTGGTACAATATAGAATTCTCAGCACAATGTATTTCAACAAGTTTACGTTTCTTAATTCTTGATCGATCCTGATGATAAATATTGAGTGATCGCCATTCAGAAGTTAGCAGTCCAGTTAATCAATATCTAAGTAATGTATATTCTTTTCGCTGCGTACTGCCAGAAATCACGATCTCTCTAATTAAGCCTTTGTAATTTATACAACGAAAATTTGTACACCTTTCAGAAATGCACCTGATTATGTTATGCGATTCAATAGACAAACAAAATTATCTAACTTCTTGAAATATCTAGATGTCAGGAACAAGTAGCTCAGATGTTTAAACAGGCCGCCATAGACGTAACATTAAGTAGTCTGTATCTATTTTTTATATTCATGTCAACTTAAGTCTATAATACGAAGATAATTAATAGAATTCATTCAGTATTGTGAACCAGACAACCTTTTTATTTCTTGAATACGTTTCATAACTATTAAAAAGTACACTTATTATTATGATAAGCAAAGATGGATAGTGGCTAGCAGTGGAATACAGTTTGACGCGCGTTTCGTCCTATTTGAGACTCGTCAGGTGGATGTACCTGCATCTCATAGTTGATGTTGACTCTGAAACTCCAACCCAGTACCCTCGCTTCAAACGCCATCTCGTTATCCACTCGGTCACTAAGTCCTGATAGTCACTTGCTTGTGCAATGGGGTGAAGTTTAAATTCACTTAGTATTGTTTGTCTGAATCTTCCCATCGATGTGTTAAAACTGCAACTAGTCAGTCTCTAATTTGCATATGTCCCAGAGTGAACATCAACTCTGAGATGCAGGTACATCCAGCTGACGAGTCTCAAATAGGACGAAACGCACATCAAACTGGATTCCATTGCTAGCCACTATCCATTTTTGCTTACAATATTAAAAACTACATATCAAAAATAAAGGCCCTCTATATAAATGAATGTCATTCACCCAATACAATATATATATATATATATAATATGAAACTTACTTGCATTGCTCTTGAAATAAATCTATGATTAATAGAATCTACTTTCTCTTTCGATTTGGTTACTTTCAATTTAATATATGAACAACATAATAAACATGTATGTATTCCACCGAATGTATTTAATAAATTAATACCAAATGTTAACATCCATATAAAACTACATAAAAAGAAATAATGTATTAAAAATGCAATCATAACACATAATTGACGATTAAATATATTAATATATTCAATAATTAATGGTAATGTTAAATAGATTAATAATAAACTAAGTATAGATGAAGCTAAACCCATAATTAATTGATTAGATAATTTTTGATATAAAGATTTTGTTTTCCCATGAATGATCAATAATGTACAAAGGCATATAGCAGAAAAAATACTGACGATTATTTGTAGAATATCAAAGATAGACTCTGTTATTCTTAGTATTGTAGACTTCTTTTCTTCTTCTTCTTCTTTTTCTTCCTCATTTGTATTCATTTCAAAACCTAAATATTTTTGTGGTAATGCAAGAAATTCATGCCATCTTATACGTTTATTAGACACTGATAATGGTGTTATATTAGAACGAAGTAATGTTGGACATGAACGTGAATAACTCGGGGGTAATGCTGTATCAAGAAGACATATACGATATTTATTATTACCAACTAAATGACAACGTATTTTAACTGTATAAAATTTTAAATATTTTTTCATAGAATTATGAAAATTTTCACCTGGTATAGATTTTAATTCACCATGACATTGTGCACAATCAATATTTGCATAGATACGATTTGTTTTTAGTGATACAACTGGTGCAATAGCACGTATATCAGATATTTTAAAATGAAATAATATCTTATTTGATATAATACCTGAAATATACTCTTTACTGAATATATCCCAATTCTTTTTATCTAAAGTAGACAAATCATTAAATTGTATTTTAATATATTTTGAACGATTACATTTTGAAGCAATTTTCATTGATGTATTCAATGGACAATTGGAAATTGCATAAATTTCTTCACTTAAATCTTCATATTCTTCAATAATATATGGTAAATCAGTGACGTAATGAATTTTTTTAATACATGTTGTTGTTAAAATATTGTTGTCATGGAAACTATTATTATATAATGGATAATCTGAACAACAATCAGATTTTTTTGTACATAATTCATCACAATAACATTTTGCTAATAAAGAATTACAGGTATCATATTTTGACGATAATTTATTGATTGTAATAATATTCTTTGAATGAATAATATTGATTGAAGTATTAAAATTATTGATTATAAAGTAAAAGATGATTGAAAAGATGTGCTTCCATATCATTTTCATATTCAATATTTTTTTTAATTAGTTAGATACAAATTTGTGCAACTGAATTTGGGGGAAAATAGTTTCTAGTCTGGTTTTCATCACATGGATATGACCTTGAACATGATAAACCAATCATATAATAGAAAAATTTTTGACAACTAATTGAAAAGAGAAAAAAAAATTATGTAAAAATAGGCAATGAAAATGTTTAACATAGTTTTTGTTAATAATTGACATTTATCATATATGGAAATTTTCAAAGATTATTTTTGTTATACAGGTAAATCATAACTAAGAAAATCCATAAAGACTAGACAATTACTTAATAGTAGGTTGTTGGATTTACTTCAAATTCATTTGCTGAGATTTTACAAATATATTATTATCAGAAGGGGTTTTTGTGGAGATTTCAGTATTTGCATAATTGTAAGCATGGGTCAATTTAAGCTAGACCATCAAGGAAAACCTGGAAGCACTGGACGGGCGTTTCGTCATGGATTGGTTGAAGTTAGAGATTAATACCGTTGGATGCCAACTCAGTGGTCTAGAGGTTAAGTACTCTGGAGCGAGACTGGTAGGTCCTGGGTTTAAGTCTTGCGTGGATGCGCACTGCTGAGGAGTCCCATGCTAGGACGGAACGGCTGTCCAGTGGTTTCAGACTTTCCATGGTCATCTAGCTTCAATTGATCCATGCTTTCAACTATACAAATATATTATTCCTATTTTAATGTTTTACATCAACTCGGCGCCCAAATACTGTGAAACTATTCGCTCTAATTTAGACGAATGTTCTTATATACTTGGCAGTAGTTTAAATTATTAACATAATTACAAATCCAAGAGCATTATAGTAGAAACTCAATATTTTTTTGGCACAATAGTTGAACAATCATATTTGATTATATTTTTCCTATTAACAAATTTTTTTAACAGTTTATCTTACAAGTGTTCTATTAGACTATCAAAAGATTTTGTTAATTGTGTAGTTTGTCAGTATAAAATGATTGATCATATACAGAGTAAATAATAGTTTTGCAGAATACCTAACTGAATCAAGTAATTATAAATACTTTTCAATTTTTGATACAACGTTTTCTTTTGAGTTACATATTCGAGACCTTTATCAATATCGAAATGTAATTAGAATTCAGAAATAGCCTCAACGGAGCTTTGGTTTATAAGTTTGATTTTTAAATATTCTACCATATACTTCTATTATTAGTTTTTTTCATATTTAAAATACTTTCTGATTTTCGACAGTTAATGTATGTGCGGTCACAAATGAATACTTATTACGATTGTTATAGTTAATTATGAAGATGAGTTTTATAAAGCCCCATGTTACTTATATCTTTTAATTTTCATGTGTTGGATTGATTTTTCATCTTTCTAGGATAGTCTGAACTGATTATGTATGTAACCCAAAAATTTTACGTTAAACAATACCCGGCAGGTCATCATCATTTAAGAAGCTTATTATTAAATTAAAATCTTGATATTCAAGGGTGGGACTATTATTCTATTTATGTTTCTGTTATAACTTGTGGCCGAGTGGATGCTTTGTTAACGTATGACGTGATAAGACCACCAATTAGAGAGCAGAGAACTATCGATTAGAACAGTGAGACGCGAAAATCGTACGATCAGTCTAGAGTACGTATCGGTCTTGCTTTCTACTTAGCCTAGTCAGTTAATTCCCGAATAGCCTCTGCGGTATGAATCATTATATTTCAAACATACTGAGTTTATATACCAATCAAACTGACCATGTCGTACCATGAAATAGAAAATAACATGTGTACAAGATTTAGCCAAAAGTGGCTGTGGGTGTGGGAGGCAGTAATTGATAAACAGGGAATAACTTAAGAATGGTAAATTGTATAAAAATAGTCTATAGGTTAAAATAAAGCTTATAATAAGAGGGACATGAACATGAATAGTTTAGTTATTTAGCAACTATACGATAAAAATTATATGCATAGTATTGGTTCATAAATAGATCCCATAGTTCCTACACATTATCCTTATCGGGGCATAACAGTTTCATAAAGGAACTCTTTGTTATAATCAAACATACAGTGTTGAATAAAAGGATTGTGTTTTTATTAATTACAAGGATTAAATTTTAAGTGAACATGTGAATCAAATACATAAACAAAGAAAAAAGAGGGATAGTAAGTAAACAATAACCACTAGTGTATTACTGTCTGACAACAATGACTGGGACAAGATCGTAAATAATACAACAGACTGACTTTAACCAGACAATAATTCAAAAATAAGAAAAATTTGAGAGCTATTTCAACTTAATATAGAATTCCTCATGAATAACGCTGCTAGAGATCAAATTCAGGACTTTCAAGGTTTGAAAAGAGTGCGTTACCTCACGAACCACCCTCCAAGCTAATCAAAACTTTGCTGAACAGAATTGAGTAATTTATTGAACCGCATCATTCACATTAACTCTCTTATATTCTAGGAAGTAAAATGTATTATATCATATTTTAAAATACCAGTCCTAAGCCCTAGTAATAATCATCCGTTAATACTAATACGAAAGTATTAAGAAATATCAAGTTTATACTTCAGTGAAAACCAAGGCGATCTTGTAGTTATGTCACCTTCTAAGCTTATTTGTTTTTCATCTACTCCTTACTCAAGACAACCTTATATTTTAGTATTTATGACTGTTACATTTTACATCATATCCATGATTCTGTACTCTAAAGTGATATCACTTGTGATTATGCATTTTGTTTACAGTCTATGCTATGCATTATTATCAATTCTATGACAAATCTCTCCATGGAAGTAACTTATAGATTGCATATTTTCGAATAATGTACCATTATTTGTCTTAGATATCACTTTTCCATTTTGTATTAGTTTGATCATGATTACAGAATAATGAATATTAATTAATTACGGCAAGACTATAATTTATGGATGAACCAATCAAGTATAAGATAACATGTCTCGGATTTTGGCGCGAAATTCACTCATACATTTGAATAAAAAGAGTTTTGGCATTATAGCTGATGTCAGTTCGTGATGAAAACCCTAAATCTAATTTGTAACCTTATTCATCAACTGTAAATCATAATTCTAATTCCTTACACAGGTTTGTAACCCTCATTTGATTCTGATTACTAGGTGGAAACTCTCAAGGTCAGTCCAGCGTCACTCAAAGTTCGTCCACAAATGGTGGTCTCATCGTAACTACTTCAAAATATCTAATCATAAGAACCAGTTTATTAACTTAAGATTATCAAAAACATTCATGAAAATCAAACATCACCCTATTGCACAAGCAAGAGGCTATCAGGACTCAGTGGCCGAGTGGATAACGAGATGGTGTTTGAAGCGAAAGGTACTGGGTTGAAGTACCAGAGTAAACATCAACAAATCTAAGATGCAGGTACATCCAGCTGATGAGTCCCAAATAGGACGAAACGCGCGTCAAACTGTATTCCATTGCTAGCCACTATCCATCTTTGTTTATAATGTTTGTGACTTAAGGCAATATCAAGGCAATACGCACAGTATGCACATACGCCAATTAGAGACTGACCATTTGCAGTCCTAAACATGAATGGGAAGATTCAAACAAACAATACTAAGTGAATTCATGAAAATTGTTGTATTTTTTCTTTATCTAATAAACATGATTCTGTAATTATAATTAAATGATTAACATTAACGTAGGCATATCTAATGCCTAATTTAAAGAAATTCTATTAGTCATTTAACAGTTAAATTATATAGTTGACTAATCTATTGAATTAGGAAGGTTAAAATAATTATGTTAAATATTTAATTATTAAATTTTGTCAAATAATGAATTTACAAAAATAGATTAATGCTAATGACACATATTTATGAAGGCGTACAATAGAGAAAGTACTTTTTCTCCTCACTGAAACATTAAGGAAAGTTGGTAAACTGTAGTATAACTTATAGTGTAGAAAGTGAATATACATTACTGTATAATTTCTTAATTGTTTTAGTCACGAACATATGTCACCCAGAGAATCATTGAAATATAGAGCGTAGTGAACGATTAGATCAGAATCATCCTGTATCATAAATTTTCTAAAATTAAGTGTGAATTAATTAATTCTTTTTAATTCAACAAATCAGAATCATTACGGCCGCCAAATGTTCTGGTACGGCCGAGAGTGGGGACAGTCCACTCCCCATCTCGAAATGCTCTCACATGACCACGCTTATATAGCCTCTGACAGGGAAATCCTACTCACTGCCTTCTAGTGGCATTATTGTTGTTTACGTAATTGAGAGGACGAAAAGAGAATGTTCGGCTCTTTAACCGGTTTGGTGGACACGGCGCGTCCACCTAAGGGAGTTGGAAAACCCTGATTCCAAACCAATGGTGCACATGGGCTCCAGTATCCTGAATGAACAAATGGCGTGTAAATCAATCGTTAATCACCGGCCACCATGGGACTGTATCTCCTCACGATGCTCCACTGCCTTGTGGATCAGACCTTTAGGTCGAAGGCCCCGGGTGTGGCCTCCTAAGAAAACCACTTGCTTCGGTTTGGGTACGCTAGCAGTATCACAGCCCCCATAAAAATCAAATGAGATTTGTGTGGCTCATATATATCTGGTGCCTCTTTGTACCAATATTTATGTGTTTACATAAATGAATAAAATTATGATAGCCCTAATATCTATAGGTCTTGAGTCAGATTCCTAGTAAAATTGTAGATACACACTGCTGTAAAGTCCTAGACTAGAATGAAATAGCAATTCAATACTCAATCAATTTTAAGCTTATTATCCAGCTAGTTAGTTGTTTTCTTTTTCTAAAGTAAAATATACTTAATAATCAAATGAAAAATTTATTTTTAAAAATGATTTAATTTGGTAGCAACCAAAGGAATTCCAATCCTTACTTGGTTGACAGAAATTAATTTACATAGACAATAAACCATAATTCCACTAAATTAAGTGTTTAAAAGACGTAAAACCATTGAAAAAATATTGATTTTGTCCTTTCTTCATTGAATAGTAGCAAACGTTTCAACTAAAAGTGGTGGCTACATAAAAATA